TTTCCAAATGTCAAAAGACTAGTGATGAAATATATGCAGATAAAGTATGACGTAAAAAGTTTAAAATGACATTTATCAGCATTAAATTTGAGTAAAGGAGGAATTTCAGTATTATTGGCTTCAATTGTCAGTAGCACCTGCCATTCCTAAATTAGTGGAGACATTCGAATGTTGGCCTGCAATCACTCAAACGGGTTCAATATTCACCAGCGACAAAATCGACAGTACTGATCGACATTCCAGCTAACTATACGTCTAGCAATTACCACCTGGCACATTTTGCAGAAAGTAAACAGACTTACCAAGTGAAAAATGTGACGTCATATCCTGTTCAAGTGGATCATCATGTTGCCATATTTTAATAGTGACATTTATTCCGGTGAGATCAGAAACTTGTCCATTCACTATTTCTAGTCTGACGACGAACTCATCACTTGTTAAAACTAATTCCTGTTCAATTGTCACATAAACAGTTGCAAATATATTTTGTTCTCCCTTTAACAAAGAAAAAAATGTATATCATATATCAGCATTAATATTATTTCATAATATTTTATGATTATATATGTTTTGCCTGGCGTATTCAATAACATTCAAATAGTACATGTAATGTTATTTGTATTATCTGAGTTCAACACACGATGTTCACTTACAGCCTATTAATATATTCAGGCAAAATGAATTTGAAACTCTCTGGAATACGATTACAACATTATTCTTGGATGTTCTATCACCATAAGTTCAAAATTTATATTTTGGAAAGTTTATTTGGCTCACCTCGGTTGCCTGTACATATGCATCATATGCTGCAGCGTATTGATGGAAGGGATCTTGAAAACCGTTCTGTGAACAAAATGTTAAAACAAAAACAAATGATAGTGTACACATATGACCTGTAAATTTAAACAACAAATAATGTGTACAGGTGTATGTATATATATGCACACATACAGGGCGATATGCCCTTCTCTAGATTAGCTATTCATGTCTAGAATAACATTTACAATAATCATGTACGATATTGACCCAAAATATTAGAAGTATTACGCATTTATTTACCCCTTGAGATTCTATAATATCCGCAACATATTGATCACCTAGGAAATTCACAAGTGAGTACGATATAATATACTCATTCTCATCATCTCGTTCAAACACTCCGTTATTCCATGCGTATATAGTATTGTTCCAACGCATTAGAAAATTTGCCACCACTTCCCGAAACTCGTCGTCTGGTGTTGCTGCCAATGTGGACTCGTATTCAGCTAAAGTTAATAACTGGTTGTCGTCACTACTGTCCGAAACCGCCATTTGGAAATCTTCATACCACGTCGTGTTTGTGAGGTCAAAACTTGTGATTAAAAGATAAAACAGATCTACTATGACTATTTGTGAATCATATGTTGATGGACATAATGTAGAGGAACTTTAAAATGAGAATTCGATATGACTAGGTCAATATATTCATATATTTTAATAAAAACAATCATTACATGTTGTCTCGATTACAAAAAATGAACTTACAAATTACCACTTCCGACTAATTCCACTGCGAGTTCATAGAAATCTGTTATGGCATAGCTTCCTGTCAATAGATTAGCTTCATATCTACTGCAACATCTCTAGAATTTCTTCTGGTTTCTGGTTTGCACGTGCTCCTCGCACCAGATACGCACCTGAAGATTAAGTATACGATATGATTACGTTTGTCATTTGACCCATGTTGCGATACTGGACACCTTTTACAAAGAATATATGCAGTACATAGTTAACAGTTAAACAAGATATGAATTTGTCCTCACCTCGCATTTGTATATACTTTACTTAATGCTTTGCCAGGGGTTTCACCGAGGTCATCACCAAATAAACTCCCAGCATTGTCTACCATGCATGACATTACTAGGTTTAGGCGGCCTAGTAATGTAGTCGTGTCTGATGTAGTATGTGATCCGACACAGCTATATTGCTTCGGTGGGTTGTTGACCGAGCACTGGGTTATCCAGGCTTGCTCACAATCATGGATCAAGTAGGATTCAGGTGTGTAGATGATTTGAGTATTTATGTGCATCTCTTGGGGCGGCAGGTCGACATTTGGAATACGTATCTCAGAACCTTTGAGTTAATAAAAATACTATACTACTTAAACAACTCAAATTAGACATATTCGATACAGTCACTTGTATGTTCCACTCAACTCTATATTGTCACATGATGAATACAAACAATTCTATTTTGGGAGAGTTGTGGACTTGTAAGGAGAAATACTGTGGTGGAGGTTTGTGCACTCAGAGTGCATTTTATTTGGTTATTGAGCTTAATGAGATAACTCATCAAATGTAGACTTTACAAGTAATGCACCACCGTCATTACCAGACACTAAACACGTAATATAACACACAATATTTGCGTTTAACACAACAAGAACATCGTTATCGTTTATATACCTCCTAATCAAAACTTTTGTTTCACTGTGATATCCCTATATATTTATATTTAATTACGGGATGACATACAACCTTGCATACTGTGTTGCGCAATCACCGGGTTATATAATGAATTAACACAATTGGATCACATTTGAGACTTCACATCAATACTCTTGGGAGATATGTACATTTCTCACAAATTGTTTATAATGAGTATTTTCCCTACCATGTTACTAATAAATTATTGGAATTCATTATCAACCTCAACCACACATACCTGGTAAACCAGCATTACCAAGAAGATCGAATGCAACAGCAGGTGACGATACAGTCACATATCCTGTTAAAAAGGAAAAAAAACACGAGCAGAACATAAAACAAGATAATAATAATTAAAACCTTTCAAGCATTAAAAAACAACATACGATAATACTTACGAGGAAGGCACCCTGCACTTGAATGTACCAAATATATGTTCAGGTTTATCACAGTCTTTACCCGGCAGATGTAGGAATATTTCATCTGACCTACATAACATGGAGATCCCAGTAAATCATTACGGTGTCCTACTCTTGGTCGAACTTCGACGGGAACGATAATGGTTGTTTTCGATTTCAAGTCACCAACGACGTCGACAAGCTGTGGATAATATAACACAAACAATAAAACACAAAATATTACACTTTTAAGCATCATTTGTAACATTAAATATTCATTCATCAATAAAAAAACAGCAGATCAAACTTACTTTCACAAACTCCAGTGTTGGGTGGTTGGTAGGTAAAGTAAGTGTGATGTCTTCCGCTCCAGCGGAACCATGGTTAGTGATTGTAAATATCATACGCCTATTAATACCAATCTCATAATCATGAAGGTTGACTGTGGCTGGATCTATTGTAAGGACCGGCATTGGCAACTGAAAGCGGAAATTGGCAAACTAGATGCTTCATAATAATACAAGAAATAGTTCATGACGTTATTACGATCATTCAATAATAATTGCATTATCGATTCATTAAATTCACTATTGACTAATTAATTCATGCATTTATCAACAAAGATTAAGTATTTACTTACACATGATAACACTCACCTCATTTTCAATAACAGGTATCATAGAATATAGATCAGTGAAGAAATTTGAAGTGATTGCCCACTTATATGTTAATGCTCTTCTATGCAGGAATATCACAATTTGTAGTGATTTGTAGGAAACCCTAATGACATTTGAATACCCTGAATGGCTAAAGGCAGTCGCCCTCAAGGAATAAATGCATTCACACACTCCATGGAAAGTTGCCATGCCTGAGTTTGAGAATAAATCAGTATAATATAACACATGAAGAACTAAATGCAGCATACAATCACACGAGACTTAATTATGTCCCTGGAAGTAATCAAAATTACTCGAATATAGTATATATGCAAAGATCGTTCGCGTATAGTGTTCACATGCAATAAGCCAGTGCACATGTATAAGATATGATCATGAGTAAAATGAAAATAGAAAATACAAATCAATATTTACCATCATTTCCTGTTACGGCGCTTAAAAACGTACCATCTAATGGGTTTTTCAATTCAATTTCAGCATTTGTGACAAGTAAATTCTCGTCGACATAGTAAGTGTACTCGTCCTCTACAATAATCACTAAGTCAAACAGCATCCTTTGGGTAACAGTTATATTGAAATCAATTTCGGCAAAAGTAGTTTGGTCAATTGATTGCACCAAGATACTGCCAGTCACCTCACCAACGTCACCATCTCCCGCAACCATGCTTAACATCAATATAGCTGACTGACCAGAAGGTATGCTGGTTGTATCTGTCACTGTTGATTTTTCAGCTGTGAACATCACGACGGCGAGGAAAGACTCATCTGAAAAAACTGCCTGTACATTTGTGACGTCTGTTTCTCCGATATTGTATACATACACCTGTGTTGATTACGATAAGAACTGTTATTATGACGTTGATCACAAAAAAGTACTAATGACACTGATGTAAGGTAAGATAAAGACTTTAAAATCACGAACCAACTTCTTCCAACGTACCAAGAACAATTTCTTACCTCAAGCAATTTCTGTACACCAACTTGTACATTTTCCTGAATTGAAGGTGGTGAAAAAACCAAGGTTGGCTCTGCTGTGAAAAGTGCAATGTCAAATACGAGATAGGCATGGGTTCCTTCTGGTGTACTAAATACCAAATCCAGTGTACCGACCAGTGGTGAAGTTGCACTTGCCCTGGCACATAATTCCATGCTGTTATCAGGTAGAAGTTCATGAATCATAATGTCGTCTTGATTATTGCAGTCAAATACTTCAAAACCATCTAAAGGAGGACCGCTTCCATAAACCTAAATTGTATGAAACCCAAAATAATTGTTTATTTTGGAATTAGTTTTTTTGAACAAGCACGATAAATAAAAAAAAAACTGCATTTTATTTTCGACTGAAACATAATATACCTGAACAGAGATATTTCGCAGAGCATTATGTCCCATATTTTCAATGTTCGCAAACGAATGGAAAAATACATCTGTGAGATCACGTTCATAACTGACACGTGACGGCGTGATAGTCATTCCTTCAACCAGCCACTGCATTTTTTCTACAAAGCTGTCGTCTGATGGGTGTGATGCATCCTGTAATTTGGTTTAATTACAAATAAAATTGCATTCATTTAAATATTAATTAAGTAATAATAACACAATTGTAATTAGCAAACAGACAACAAAAACAATGCCAACAACAAAAACTGCCAAATATGTTAAATCACAAAGTCAAGTGAGTGTGGGAAAGACATAGACATCAAGGTATATATAACAACGAACTATATACAAAT